GAGCACTGTAAGTGAAATGGGTCAGGTAAGGGGTGGGCCGGAACGCCCTGGAGTTTTCTCGTGTCCCCCTACTCCTGAGCCACCTGTCTGATCTGGGCTTTTCCCAGCCTCTCCCGGGCCAGTGGGCACCTGAGGCTGGTCCAGTTGAGTGTGGACTTCAGTTCATCAGGTGAGAATGACCTCTCTTTCTCCCATCTGCCTAGCAGGTGGTGGAGGGGCCAAGGTTTGGGACACAGCTCTGTTGATCTTCAGGGCCTTTGGGATTGCCTGGGCCCCTCCTCCTTTCCAGAAGACTCTTTCCAACTAGCTGGTGGAGCGGATGCTTAGGGAGGAAGTGGAGGGTCCATAGCAGTGGTTGTCAAACCTTCCTAATGCTGCCACCCTTTAATACAGTCCCTCATGTTGTGGTGACCTCCCCAACCATAAAATTTTTACATTGCTACTTCATAACTGTAATTCCGCTGTTAGGTAAACAGCTGATATGCAGGATATCTGATATGCCACCCCCGTGAAAGGATCAGTTGACAACTCCCCCCCCCTCCCACAAAGGGGTCTCGAACCACAGGTTGAGCACAGCTGCTCTAGAGCAGTGCCTTCTCCAAGGTCACGTGGCCAATGGCACAGCTGCACACACATCTGGGCTGACTGGCTCCAGGATTGGCTCCTTCAGCAGAGGCAAGGTGCCTGTGCTTGTGACGTCGGAAGGCTTTGCTGTCATTACTCTTACCATTTGCTCGTCCAGTCCAGAACGAAAAGGATTTTATTTATTTATTTATTCATTCGTTCACTGCAGAGCTGGAGTCGGAGCCCAGGGCCTCGCTCATCCCACTGAACCACATCCTCAGCAATTTTACTTTAGACGTTTTGCAATTCAGAATGTAGAGTTTCCAGAAACTAAAAATAAAGTTTAAAGAAAGTAAAACTTACCCTAAATCCCACCAACTGCAGAGAGTCACTGTTAACAGTTTGGTGAACAGACTTCCAGACGGTGCCGCGTGTGAGTGTGGGGACTTATGGGAATGGAACCACATACTGTTTCATAACCTGCTCTTTTTACTCAACAATATGTTGCAGGGATCTTCCCACCTCAGGGAAGGCGGCCCCACCCTTTACATAACGGCTGTAGCCTGTCCAAAGCAAACGGAAGTACCAAGGATGCGCTGAGAGGTTTCCAGAATTTTGCTCTTCCTAAGATTATATGGTGAACCGAACGTTATACCACTATCATGGTCATGAACCCAGTTACTGTGTAAAAATATACTTTAGCATGCTCGTGCTAAATAAATAAATAAATATTTATTTATTTCTATTTAATTCAATTTATTTGTGTGTGTACATGAGTACATGAGCGCAGGTGTCCACAGAGGCCAGATCTGGGCACTGGATTCCTCCGGATCTGGAATTACAGGCAGTCATGAGCCACTTGACATGGGTGCTGGGAACTGAATTCTGGTCCTTTGCAAGAGCAGCAAGTACTCTTAACTGCTGAGATACTGAGCCATTGTTCCAGCCCATAGTTCCAGGGCCCTGATGGGAAAAATCTTACAATGATTGTATTGCATAAGGTTCCTAGGACACCCCTGAGGATGCTATCTTAATTAGGGTTCTATTGCTATGAAGAGACATCATGACCATGGTAGCACTTATACAAATATTTAATTGGGGCTGGTTTATAGTTCAGAGGTTTAGTCTGTTATCATCATGGTGGGAAGCACTGAAGCATACCTGCACATTTGGTGTGGAGAAGAACTGAGAGTTCTACATCTTGATCTGCCGGCAGCAGAAGGAGACTGTGTGGCACACTGGGCATAGCTTGAGCAGAGGAGACCTTAAAGCCCGCCCCCACAGTGACACACTTCCTCCCCCAAGGCCACACCCACTCCACAAGGCCACGCCCTGTGGGCCAAGCATTCAAACCTGTGAGTCTAAGGGGGCCATTCCTATTCAGACCACCACAGAGGGTAGAGTCCCGGGCTGACGGACACCAGGCTGGTCACAGAAACATTTTTCTGAGCCACCAGTCAGCAGGTGACAGTCCCAAAGAAGGCATTTGACAAGCTCTTTCTGTTTCTTCTTCTTGAGGCCAGGGAGCCTCCTTCCCACTATAGAACTGCAGGTACCTTCAGGACTCACCCAGGCTGGAGCCTGAAGGAGTTTGGGGCTCTGTGCCTCCATTTCCCACCCTAGAAGTCTGCTCACAATCCCCCCATTTTCTTTCTTCCCTCAAACTTTTTATTTCTAGGGAGGAGGACTCTGCCCCCACAGAACCTGGGCATAAGTTAGGGTACATATCACTGGCCTTGGCTGTCTTGGGTGGCCTGGGGTCACCAATGCAAAGGCTTTTCTCCAGCATAGTCACAAGCCCCACCCTTCTTGGGGCAGTAAAACACTCTAAAATCCTAATAGCTAGCTAAAGGGGTGCAGAGAGGGAAACAGAGCTTTGATCCAGGCTATCTTCAGTGAGATAAAGTCTTCTATATATGATAGGGAAGTGGCACCCACGGACGCTCAACAATACGGTTGCAGAACAAGGCCAGCATACTAACACCAGCTGACATGCCAGCGTGGAAGGGGACATTCCGCCCCTTAGCGGAAGGGCTACAGACGGCCCAGGAGAGAGAATCAATCTCCTCCAAGAAAGAGCTCTCGGAAGCTGTCCAGCCTCAAGTGGTCAGCCCAGGACACACGTCCATATGGATGACAATGGATGGACTCCATAGATTTCATGCACATGTGTGCATAGATCAGCATATGTGTAACAATGATCATCAAAGCAGAGGTGAGGAATTTGGGAGGCAGAGGGCGTGCTGGAGGCGGGAGCAGGGATGGTTTAGATGCAATGCTCATGTATGATAGCCTCAGGAAATAAAATTATCGAACGACAGCTAAAACTTTCCTTAAGCTCACACCCTGTGACCTCCACTCAGTTTGCATTGGCTTGAACTCAGTCGTCCGGTCAGCCCTAGGGTGTGTTTGGCTAAGACTGAGTACTGAGAACAGAACCTAGAGCAGACATTCTCAACCTTCCTAGTGCCGTGACCCTTTAACACAGTTCCTCATGGTGTGGTGACCCCCCCCCAACATAAAATTATTCTTGTTGCTACTTATAACTGTAATTTTGCTACTGTCATGAATCATAATGTCAATATTTTTGGAGACAGAGGTTTGTCTAAGGGGCTGAGATCCACAAGTGGAGAACTACTGACTTAGGGCCTCATGTATGCTAAGTGCCCTACAACTGAGCTGTATCCCCAGCCCTGGCCATCCCTAACTGAATTCTGTTTCTAGATCAGGGAATGAACTCAGGGCCTTGTGCATCTAAGTGACGGTTCTATCCAAAAGTTACACACACTCTTTGGCTCTTTTTCCTTTTACATTTTAAACCAGGGTCTTGTTAAATTGTACAGACTGGCCTTGAACCTAATCTACAACAAAGGCAGGCCTTGAACTCTTAAGCTTCCCACACCACCCTTGTGAGTAAATGGGCTTTACAAGCTTGTGTCAGCAGGCCTGACCAAGTGGATATTTTAGCTGGGTATATGGCCACCCTGGACATAATCAGCATCTGCTAGAAGGAAGATGAGAGAAGGAATCAGGTGGTCAGGGAAGTTGGCAGATGAGGTTGCTTGGATTGGGGTCTTGGCTAAGAACACTCTGTTCAGCAAACCACTGGCCTTTTTCTCCTCTTTGACCCCATGTCTCAATGGTGGGCAAAGCAGGGAATATCAGGTTTGAGCTGTAGGTTTCTGGGGACTTTGGAAGCTAAGGAGAAGGGGGGGGGTGCTCTGACCTTTGGCTTCTCTTCTTCCTATAGGCTCTGCTCAGAATTGTGTGGGCTGGAGGAGATGGTGGCTGGCTGGAGAGGGGTGGCTCTATGCTGTTCCTTTCTTGCAGCTAACCTGTTGGAGTCCACAGCTATGGGATGGCATCTTTCAGCACATCTCCTCCCCCTACATGGACATTGCAGAAGCCACAGGTCTTTCTCAGGTAGGACTCAGCTTCCTACAGGAGGGCCTTTGACACCTGCCCCCACCCCCCGACCAAAGCCCTGGGCCTTGCTGGGACAGTTACCAGCTAAATGGCCTCGATGACGAACGTAAACTCATGTTGCCTCTAGCCATGTTCTTCAGAGTCAGGAAGATTGCTCTACAGTGTCAGTATCAGCTGGGGATTTGCCAGAAACACAACTTCTCAAATACAGATTCTCAGATCTGTGGGACACAGACAGGGTGCAGCGGCTTGTTTCTGACAAGGCCTCCAGGTTATGCTACTGACAGGCTCCAGAGTGTAAGAGCCCCTGACGTGCAAGGGCTCCTAGATGGAAAACACCTGCTGAGCTTGGAGCAGCTACCCCAAAGGCTGCTGGGAAAGAAGAAATGAGGGAGACTCTGCTCCTCTGTCCTGCAATTCGGGCTGCTATCACCTCTCTGAAGACTGACTTTTCCTGGCCTTGGTTGTTTTGAGACAGAGTCTGGCAGTATTACCTCTGCCTCAGCCTCCTGCTGAGGGGAATTCAGTAAAGGGCCATAGCAGTGAGAGAGAAAGAAGCCCAAAGGCCGATCTGTTCAGTCAGAACAATGAGCACTTCCGGCCCTCTTCAAGGACTGTGGGCCTCTCCCTGCCCCAATGAGTTAACAGCAAGCTTGCCAAAGAAAAGGTGTGGGCAGCTTATTCTGGGGACCCAGGGCAGGGGCAGTGGGTATATTCTCATCCTCCTCTGCATCCAGTCCCCAGAGAAGCGGACACCCAAGAGGCTGAGGGGGTGGTGGCAGCTGCCATGAGCCAGGGCTGGGGATAGCTGAGGCATGGCGGGGGCTGGAGAACGGGCCCAGATGGGGAAGCAAACGGAGGGTGAGAGGGCTGGAGCGCAGAGCAGTCGCTGACTCTCGCTCTCAGCCAGCGGGGCTCTAAATGAGATTTGCCATCTTGGGTGAGGCGGGGCAGTGGCCTGAAGCAGGTAGGTTTCTGAGCAACGAAGAAAACGAGTCGAGTCAGTGGCAGACAGTCTCCAACACAATCCACGCCTCTGCACACGCAGGGGGTGTTTGGCTTTATTTAAAAAGAAGCCAGTGTCTTTCTTTAGCACTGACACAGCAGTGGCCCCTGGCAATCAGACGTCATTTACACAACGCTCTTGGAAAGTCACACCTGAAAGGCACACGGCCTAAGACATCACACTCCGGGCAGCATGACCGCCCACAGAGAATAGTACACTTCTCACTGGAAAAGTCTTCTTTAAGAAAAACATCAGTCCCCCGGTCGCAGAGGAATGGGCGGACGGCTCTGCCCCGGGAGCTTGAGGGGCTTGGTCTCCAAAGAGACATGGTGACCAACAGAGATTCCTCATGATTGTGTGGTTCCGCCTGGGAGGCTGCCAGGGCCTTCCCTGCTGCTGAGAGATGTACAGATCTGTCCTGTCGCCCACGGGTGGGGGAGAGTCACCGGGAACCTGGTCTGTCAGCAGCATCCTGAGGGCCCCCACACAGACCAAGACACAAATAGCTCCGGGCCCACGCTGCTTCCAGTGTGCTGACAAGGGGTGCTTGCTCCTGTTTCTTCCCTTTCTTTTTTAATTGATTATTTTTAAAGGAACAAAGTTCGGAGTGAAAGCTTGTAGTTTGGGAAAACTTTTTTTCTGGCTCTGGAGAGTACACAGCAAGATGGAGTGGACACTCTTCCCCAGGCGCTCTGTCAACTCTCACATGCGTGCAGGACGCAGGCGCCCTTCCACAATACGCCACAGGTGCAGGGGTAAGGGGAGAAGACAGGGCTCTTTCCCAATCCGCTGGCTCGTAGCATGTCCTCAGGCCCGGCTCATGCTTCTTTAGATAAGTAGACTGCTCACACACAGACAAGGTGCGTGTGTGTGTGTGTGTGTGCGTGTGTGTGGAGGGTATAGTGGGGAAGGGGCACAGGGAGGCAGGGAGGAAAATGATGTTGAGACCTAGCCAAGAGGACAGGACAGGGGATTCTAGGCAGCAGGGTTGGGCAAGTCCTGCAAAAGGAGCTGTTCAGCAGGACAGAATCTGCTGTCTGGCAGAATCTGCTGTCCAGAGGGGTTGGGCTGTTTGATGTCACAGACAACAAGGACAAAGGCTGAGGAGGCTCGGCAACCCTGCTCCTCAGAGGGCGTGGGCCTGAGCCTTGGTGGACAAGTGTCCTCAGAGCCGAGGAGTGGGGCTGCGGGGTGGGCTGAGGTCCAATGGGTTGGCGGTGGGCTCTGGCCTCGGCATCTCCCTAGGCGCGGAGGCTGGTGGGGGAAGGACCTCCACGGTTGCCATGGCAACCGGCCTTTTTTTTTTTTTTTTTTTTCCTTCCCTTCCCCAACCAGCCCAGGAGGTTCCAGGTGGGAGGTACAGGTTCCCTGCAGGCTCCGGTAGCGTGGGAGGCGTGACTGGGCTGCTCGCCAGTCGCCTTAGGTACTGAGGGTTGGGAAGACTTGGCCTTAACGTTATCATCCTGATTCCAGAAAGTTCTCCTTGGGTTAGAATGGCATATCCGAGGGCCGCGTGTGTGAGTTCTCTCACCTTGCCGCTGGCGTCCCGTGCCTTCCGGCAGGGTTAGCCGGTTTCTAGGTTTCTCCGGTCGGACTCGATAGCTCTCGCTGCACGCACGGGGCGCCTCCTGGGCAGCCACGTTCAGTGAACACGCGGGAGGAGGCCTGCAGCCAGGGCCAGCAGGAGGAGGACCAGCAGGGGGACCCGGTGCACCGCGGCCACTGGCGGGGGAGGGTGGAGGGAGGGTAGGCAGTTAGGGCTGGAAGCACCAGGCCTGTGGGCGGCGGGCTTGGTGCTCACACACAGGCAGCGCTATTTCTGTGCGCTCTGCTACCTCCAGCCTCCTTTCTACCCGAGCGAGCGACGACGATCTTGCCTCTCCCTGGTTCCTTTACATATGCATTCCCTTCCAAATTATACTGCATGCATATTTATGTCGCTACCTCAGATCCACCGAGGACTATCATTTTCAGCACTTATGTTCATGATCCGGGTCTATCTGGGTGACAAGCCCAGAGCTCCTGCCTCAATTATCGCCAAGCCTCGCTGTTTGGACCTTCCCGGGGACACTTCATCTTGACAGTATTTGAAATAGGGACTTCTTTCTCTCCCTCACTCAGACCTGGGATACCCTTCAGCTTTCTCAGAGTTTTGGTTCCCTCCCCACCCCCATGATGCTGGGCTTGTCTCAGGGCTCTTTAAAGAGGGTGTCTCAAGTGCTGGCACATGAGGCCTGCTCCCCTACCTGCTCCTGAGCACTGTTGAGACAGCATTCCCTCCAGAGCCGTCACGTAGTCAGGGCCCAGCCAGTCCAGGTATGTGGTTTTCTCCCTAACCGGTACTGCTTGAACGGTAGCATCTTTGAAAATCAGATCTTGGCTGTGGTATTTGGAGGAGTCAAACATTTGGAACCCATTCTTGTTGTGGTCATCTCCAAACAGCTTCTGGAAACACCAAAAGCAACTGCTATGTCTGGGCTTACAAAAAACTGTGGGGGTCCCAAAGAGCAATCATTTCAGGACACCAAGTCTCCACTTAGCCTCTGTCATGGAATGAGTCTGGGAAAGATTTGCAGAGAGGCACCATCCCAAGACAGCCAGAAATGTCCTACAGACCAGTTCTTGAAGGCAGCACTGGAGTGGGAGAATTATAGCAAGAAGGACTCAGAAATGAGATCTGGCGCAGATGCAGTGACTAAGCACTTGGCTGGGTCTGCCCAACACTTCTCAATCTTTTTGGCAATGCTTTCTCATCGATTTTATGGACATCCTTTCCAATGAGCCAAGATAATCTCAGAGGCCTTCGTTCTGTCACCAATAATAAGAAAACGGGGAGGAGTTGATGATGTCATCACTAAGCCTGTCTGTGTTCCAGGGGTGACCCTGCTATTTCCTTCCCTGATGGGAAACCTTGGACTGAATATGCTTTGGACAGCCCCAAAGAGCTAGAGGAAGAGGAGACATAATACCAGAATACCACCATCACATAATACCACCACAACAGCAGACATACTATCACCAAGCCAGGCATGGTGGTCTATGCGTGTAATCCCAGGGCTCAGGAAGCTGAGGTAGAAGGATTGAGAGTCTGAGGACAGCTTGGGATACAGATAACGGTGTGAACAAAGACCATCTGGAAAATATGCACAATGTGTGTCCACTGTTGAGTGAAAATCAAGGGGAAGGGAGAAAGTGGCCACGGCTATCAGCCATTTCGGAAAAACGGACACCCACATGACTTCCCCAGTTAACTCCGGAGACCTCGAGGGGTCAGTCGGGGAAGCCACTGGCTTCAAGGGGTTGCTCCTCCATTGGGAGGACAAACAGGGCATATACAACTTCAAAGTTTAGTAACAGCCCAGTGGTGCTGCTAGCCTATAGTTCTGGTGGTCAAAGGAGACTAAGTTCAGCCTAAAAGATGGAGCCAGGAGGAGAGCCAGTGTTGTGGGGGCCTGAGAGCCAATGGAGAATGTGTTTCTAAGAGGAGGGGTGTGAGGCTCAGGAAAGGAGTGCCGTCTGTGGCCAGTGCCGTGCTGGTGTGAGGTCAGGTGTAATGAGGCCCTTGGATTCAGCAATACGGGGCATGGTGCCCTTGAAAAGGGGCCTAAAAAAGGACAGCCTGGAGTGGCGCTACCCCCAAGAGAGACCAGGAGAGGAACTGCTGGGCTTAGCGTGGAGACAGTTTAGGAGTTTTGCCCCCAGAGGGAGCGGAGATGCCTTTCCCAGGCAGGTGTGAGGCTCCTTGGCCATACAACAAGAAGCAAAGAAAAGGGGTCGTGGCTCTGGAGGTAGCAGAGCACACAGAGGCCGGGAGGGTTAGCTTGCTACTTGGAGATGGTGAAGCAGCAGGTTTGTACGTTGGGAGAGAATGGAAGGAAAATTCATGATTCAGGAGACAGAGGGATTGTTGTTGGTAGAATGTCACGGGCAGAATGAAAAAAATCACACAATCGCCCCCTAGCCTCCTCTGTTTCTTGTGGATTCTGTTCCAGGTAGGCAGAAGCCTCCTGGGGGGTGGGTGGGCGGGGCTTGGATCTCCACTGCCACCCACCCCTCCCTGAAGTCCCTCTAGCTTGGCTCACCTGGGCCTTGTCCAGAAGTCCATAGACAGTGAAGATGTTGGTATCTGGGTGAACCATGACAGCGTGGGATGGCATCTGTGCCAGGCTGCAGGCTTGGAACTGGCCTATTTCAGCCCTGGCCCCATTGGGGCACAGCAGTTCATAGTCTTGCAACCTGAGGTGAGCAGCCCAGGGCTCAGGATTGTGGCCTGGAGGGACAGCATGGGGTGGGAAGCAGCAGGAGAGAGACTCTGAGACCCTTCGCTGGGTCTCAGTGAAGGGGGTGGTGCTGTCTGGACAGCTTCCCAAGCACTGTGTTCTTGCTGTTGTAGGAAGCCAGCGCTCGCTTTGTGACAGGCAGGGTTATGGCCCCTGCCTATAACACAGGGGTGGGGGCGGGGATTATCACCTCTAACTTATAGCACTTTACAGATGACCAAACCAGGATTCTTAAAAAGACCATTTTTGAGACAGGGTCTTGCAGTATAGCCTAAGCTGGCCTCGAACTGTGATCCTCCTGCCTCAGCCCACAGAGTGCTAGGGTTACGGGAGTGTGCTACCGGGTCAGCTCTGGATATCCTTATGACTTCCCTGTACCGGACACTGCCAGAGCGCTTGTGACCAGTGAGCACAAGAGAGGGGTCTTGCAACCCCCCAACCCACAAGCCTCAGCGCCCCAGGAATACCGGAAGACGGGTGGAGACGCAGTACCACATCGCAGTGGGATACGAACTTGAATTCTGGACCCAAAGAGGGCATCTCTGAAATCTGTCCTTACCATTGTAGCTCTTGGGGCCCCGTGGCTAATGGGGCTAGAGCATTCTAGACTCAGTTTCTCCTGGCTGCTGCTCAGTTTCTAAACAGCCAGCAACACCCTGTGCCTGGACTGCTCTGGAGACAGGAAACAGCCCCTCCCCCCACCTGGCCCCTCATGTACCGTTTGTGTTCTCAAAGACAGTCGTGTGCTTGACGAAGGCAACATCCCCTGCATTCTCCACAAGGCACCTGTCACACGGGAGGGCAGGGTAGACGTTAGGAAGGCAGCCCGGCTGTGGGGCCAGGCCAGGAGACCCGCCCCTGCGCCGCATGGCCGCCAAGTACCTGAAGGCTCCGCTGTAGCTGTAGTACCTCTCCTGGCTGCTTCCCACACACTTGTGGCGGCCCTTCTCGTCTCCCACGCAGAGCGCGCACAGCGAGGGAGGGTAGTTCTGAGGGTTGTTCACAGGCACACAGCTGGCATTGAAGAACTGGCTCACCGCTGGGGCAGGACGGAGAGGACGTGACAGGGGAGCAGGGCAACAGAAAGAGGGCCAGGGAGCTGATGGACAGGCTGCGCCCCACCCCCATCTGCCCACTGGCCTTGCCCTGAACTCCCTCAGGGATGGGGTGAGGGGGTGCCATTATCTCATGATCCCTATTAGAGCAACCACCTACTGACAGGAGAGAGAGCTGTGGATTCTGGTGCCCTCTCTGCGCTTCAAAGAGAACTATGTTTACAGCTGGGGGAAGAGGCAGGCCTGTAGCCAGTCAGCTTGAGGACCTCGCTGGCTTTGTGGCTGTGTGGCTGTGGGGAGAGCTTTGCCCAAGTGTGTGATGGGTAACTAGCCAAGATTTCTTACTCTGTCCCCATCTTAGCACTTCCATATTTGGGTACAGACGTGCACGCCCTGCCCCTTTCCAGTGAGGTCCCCAGATGCTTAGGGCCTGCTAGGCACGGTGACGACCCGGGGCCCTTTCGCATTGCCACACCCTCTGTTGTTCGGTGTAAATGCTATTTGGGTCGAGTGGCTGGAACACCTAGACATATCCTGTGATATACCTGTGAGGATGTCACAGTCCTTGGGCCGGATGAAGCCCCGCTGGATGAGGGAGCCTATGGGCACATCCCAGCCTGCGGGGCTGCCCAGGCCTGGGTGGCAGGAACGCTTGCCTCGCAGCTCGTCCCAGGTGAAGGAGTGAGAGCTGTCCCGTCTCACCACAGCCACCACAAAGTAGGAGTTGCTCCTGTCGTCCTCTGCAGGGAGAGCGACATCTCGATAGGGATCCCTTATCAGAGCTGGGAGTCATGCCTCAGCTGTCCCCTCCTGTTTCTTTGCTTGAGGGCTGTGCTGTCCCACCTTGGGGTTTTACAGGCTTGGGGGTGCCCAGGGCCTGACTGGAGCACCCTAAAGTCCTCACCCATGGTCTTCCTCACACCTAGGCGGTATTTCTCTCACTCTATGGGAGAGAAGCAAGCAGAGCCAGGCCTGCAGATATGTTCTCCAACCCCAGAAATTTCTCACAGCCAAGTGGAAGAGACTGAATGTCCCAAGGTCAGTCCTTAAGGGGACAAAGGACCAATTCAAGCCCAAACCACTGAGATTGTGTGAATGAGCTCACAAGCAGAGGGCTCCACCGTTGTGGCAGGGAGAGGTCAAGGACACCCTTGGAAACTGTGGGGCGGTCTACATGTGTGGCTGGGTTGGCTGCTAAGAAGGGCTTTCATAGTTGTTAATGGGGAATCTGGGCTCTGCAAAGGCTAGAATACGAACTCCTTGACCCTGTCCTGAAAGTCTGTGGGCTTCCTTTAGAGGTATGCATCGCTCGCACGCCTGCGTAATTGAGGGGTGGGGTGTGAGGGGCTTGCTTCCTGACAGAAGGCTGGGAGAGAAGGCCCTGGGTAGGGGAGTTGGAAATTCTTATAGAAAAGGTTTCCGAGTTACAAAAGAACCAGCCAGCAGGCAGGGGCTGGTCCACGCACCGGCATACAGCTCCCCAGCCGCCGGGACCAGGCCGTACACCTTCCCTGCCGTGTAAACGTCCTCGCCTCTCAGGGTCACAGCGTCGACGTGCCCAGCCTGCAGGGAGCAGAGGGGACCCCCAGTATGCTTCTGGATGGCAGGGAGCCCCACTTGGGGAAAAGTGGGGCTAGCGAGCTCCGCTATTCTCCCTCTGGGAGTCACCGGTTGGGGGAACCCCTTTCTGCGCCCGCTTCGTCCTTCCTGCACTCGTGAAGATGCCAGGCCCAGAGGTTGCCAGTGGCCATGACAGGCGGCACCACTCCAGCTCCTGCCAACAGTCTCAGCTTTTCAGAGCTTGTCTGCCGAGACTCCGCCCCCGAGACTCCGCCCCCTATCCCTGCTCTGTGTAGCACCGCCCTTGCCCTACTGCTTGATCCAGGGACTGCAGTCTCCCAGAGGCCTGAGGTCTCTCAGCGCTCTTCCAGGCATGGACAAAACACAGCTGCAATGGCAAAACGGCCCAGAGACTTAAAGATGACAATTCTAGGGCCTCAGAAGGGTTCTCCGTGCGTGTTAGCACAGGCCCTGTCTGGGAAGGCAGCAGGCAGCCCTTCTCTCCAGTGACCCTAGGCCCTTCCTTCGACCTACATTCCACTTGCTCATTCTGAAGGCTTTTTGATCCTACCTTAGGTAGCTAGGATCCTAGAAAGGGCTTATGTGGTAATAAAGCCATAGGTACATGACAGACCCCAAGAGAAGGGCCAGGCTGGGGAAAGCGGGTCCCACTCTCCCGCTTTCCCAAAGTGTGGGTCACACACTGTGTAGCCCACAAGTGTGAGGAGGTAGCGGTGGGGGCATCAGGCAGTGGCGTTTGCCCCAACGGGGGCATCTCTAAGGGCTTTCTCCCTACTCAGAGATTCTCACACCTTCAGCGACACCGAGGGCAGCACAGCGCCTGAGCCCTCAGCCCCCAGGACCCCGTCACCGTGGCATTAAGAAAAGGGAAGTGAACGTCCATCTGCCTAGCCAGGGACCCCAGAACAGAGGCTCGCTGGGCCTCGTGCTGGTCTTGAGAGGGCATCTGGGCAGATTCTGCTCCTTCCAGCACAGGCCTGGGTGGTCCTTCCCCCACCACGCTCCTGAGACAGTTGAGTGACTATGTCTTCAGCTGGAAAGAAGCCGGCCCTGCCTTTCCCATCTCTTCTGACAGTGGCACCTGGAAAGAGCTACCGAGACACAGGCCAGTGCACCAGGCATCGGGAAACAGGCATCCTCTCTTCCCAGCCTCCCTTTGCCTCAGTGGCCAAGCAAGGAAGTCAGGAGGACAGGACTGGGTGGGGTCTGAGCAGGGGCTGGAGCTTTCTCTGTGGATTAGTGGGTACCAGTGGACCTGAACAGAACACAGCAAGTGCTTAGGGCAAAGACTAAAAGCAAACGCAGTAAAACGAAACACCAAGCCTCCTTTCCACCCGGTCTTATACGTAGGATGCATAGTTTTCACACATTCCCATTGGATTCCTATTTTGTGCACTAGATCTCTGAACACAATGACATCTGTTTCTGAGCGTGGGCTGCCATCAGAAGCAGACAGCAAATGGCGGCCTCCCCACCTCACCGTGTGCGGGGGGAGGGGGGGCGGGGGGGGGAAACTGAGGTTTGGAAGGGAGAAGAGAGACTTCCTTGGTCCAAAGGTCTATTCCCAGCCAGCTGTGTTCTTCCCTCCCCTCTTCCTTTGTGAGGTTGCCATAGGACCCCTCTCCCCGCCTTGCCACACAGGGGTGAGAGATAAGACTATGTGGGGTCCTGCAGCTGCCCCTCCCTAGCCCCCCCCCACACACCTGGATTAGCTCCATGCAGTGCTCAGGGGACTCGGCCGACACACACTGGATCTCCGGCTTGAGTCTCTGCCGGCTGAAGGCCACAGCCATGTCTCCACACTTCTGGATCTCGGGTGTCGACAGCACGCACCAGCGCAGGTAGTGGGGAAGCCCTGTCGGGGTGCACACTGGGGCTGGTACTTGAGCAGGGAGCCTTTCAAGTCAGAGCTCGGGGGGATTCTGGGGCTCGCTCTCGTTAGCCACGTGACCGGGATGTGTTATTTACCCGCTTCTTCAAATGGAAAGCTGTGAGCTGCACGAGGCAGACCGGCTGCCGTGTGCTGAACTAGGTCTGGCGTGCCACGTCCCTGGCTATGGGGGGGGGGGGATTTATAGGGATGAAGGCTGAAGGCAGGGCGCCTACTGAGAGGCTACTGCAATAATCCGGGCAAGAGAGAGCTCCTGAACCCATGAGACGGAGAGAGAGGAATGGGAGATTGTGGAAAGCGTTAGCAGGACTCGATAGTTCTAAAACAGGCTCCGATGACCCGGGTCCCAGACCCTAGAGGGCTCCACAGGCCACACAGCTATAGGATTGCTTCCTCCCCAAACTTCCAAGCAACTGAAAATTGTCAGGTTTCCGCCGGGAGCCACGGGCGAGGGGTAAATGTCCTGCCCTAGCAGCCTCTCATAGAGAACCCTGCCATCGTTACGTTCAGGCAGGGATTCAGCTGGCAAAGGCAGGGACAGGAGGACTCACGGTTGGGGTCACACAGCAGACCCTTCATGGCATGCAGGTATTCCCGGCCCAGCCAGGCCTCGTAGTTCTGCGTGGCGATGGGCACAAGCTCCAAGGTGGAGTCTTTGAACAGCAAGTTCTTCTGGCCGTAGGCCTGGGAGCTGAACATCTGGAAGCTGCTGTCCTCGTGGTTGAACAGAAGCTGCGTGTGGAGAGTGAAAACGGTGGTGAGGGCGCCGCGCCCACGTCCTCTCCTCCCAACTTCGGCCACCTGGACTTCCTTCCTGCCACCTCAGGCCAGGTGCCCACTCTGTCGGTTTTCCACAGGGCCTTTTCTGAGGCTCTGCTCCCTCCAGAACCCCCCCACTTCTGCCTCATCAGGCCCCACATTTGACCACAGGGCTCGTGGCCCAGGGTTAGATGGTCATGAATACAAGTAATTGTGGGGAGGTGCCTGACCCTGCAGTGTCTGCAAGACATCAGTCGCCACGGTTAACCGATGGCACAGTTGCCATCTTATTTGCCCATAGGTTGTGCTTTGGATCTTCAGTGGCACATGTAGAAAGGGCTTCCACTGAGGGGTGCCCATGACCCCACCTCACCTGGCCTTCATTAAGCAGCCGGAATACAAGGCCCCCATCCATGTCATCCCTGACCATCACGGCATGAGCAGGCACCTGGGCCAGGTGGCACCGTCTCCACTCGGTGACCTCGGCCCGGCTGCCATCCCTGCACAGTAGCTGGAAGTCCTGAGACATCAGCTCCTTGCCCCAGGAGGGCAGGGTTTTCCCTGGAAGGTGGGAACAGGAAGTCAGCTCCTGTGCTCAAGAGATGGTGGGGAGGGCGGGGGGGGGGGTAGGAGAGGGGTCTGGAAGAGGCTGGGTGTTGTGGTGGCAGGAACCGAGCACTCATGATGGAAGCTCTTCAAGTGTACACAACTCCTTTTGTGTATACTTTCTACCTCTCACCGAATTTCCGTTAAGAAGATGGGACTGAGGTAGTTCGCCACGATATGGCTGCTTACGGAAGATAAGAGTAAGAAACTAGGGTTGCTTAGGATGAGAGAGCTAAGGGTATTGAAGTAGGCAGGGGTGGGGGCAGGGGGCAGGGAGCAAGGTGCAGGTGCAGGGTGAAAGGGCAGGATGCAGGGACAGGAGGCAGGGGCCAGGGAGCAGGGGCAGGAGCAGGGGCAAGAGGCACAGTGAATGACCTCTAACAGAATCACCTCAGAGCTGTGGCCCAGAGGGAGAAGGGGAATCCTTTTCCCAAAGCTCCAAATGTTTGGTTTATCTTCCCCAACCCCTTGTGTTCTTTATCCCAACTCACTTTCTATTTCTTTTTTTTTCCTAACCCTTTGAACATGACTAAGTACATAGTTAATTTTGCATACTACTGTTTCGCATAACTCGGTATTTTTCACACTGTTTTCAAAGGTTCATGTTCCTTTTGTTTGCAGATTTACTTATATTTTTGTTTGCATATATTTTTGCCTGTGTCTGTGTGAGTGTATGCTCCATGTGTGTAGGCGCCTGTGGAGGCCAGCAGGTTCCTTGGAACTGAAGTTACAGAAGGTGCTGGGGCCTGAACTCAGGTCCTCTGGAAGAGCAGCAAGTGCTCAACAGCTGATCCATCTCTCTGTTCCCAATTTCATATATTTATTAACAGAAAAAAACATTATTTATCTGAGATTGGCAATTAATACCAAATAGGAGTATTATGAAGAGTCACATTAAGGACTTGAATCAAATTACAGGGGGTCCTATCTAGTAGACCTCTAAATCAGTGGTTCCCAGCCTCCCTAATGCTGCAACCCTTTAATTCAGTTTCTCATGTTGTGGTGATCCACAACAAATTGTTTTTGTTGCTACTTCATAACTCTAATTTTTGCTTCTGTTATGAATCTTAATGTAAATCTCTGTGTTTTCCAGTGGGCTTAGGCAATGTGCTGGTTTGAATGGGTTTGGCCCCCACAGACTCATGTGTTTGAATGCTTGGCTCATAGGAAGTGGCACTGTTAGGAGGCGTGGCCTTGTGGGAGGAAGTGTGTCACTGTGGGGGCGGGCTTTAGGTTTCATATAAGCTCAAGCTTTGCCCAGTGTGGAAGACAGTCTCCTTCTGTTGCCTGCAGATCTCTCGGGGCTGGAGAGATGGATCAGTGGTTAAGATCACTGTCTGCTCTTCCAAAGGGCCTGAGTTCAATTCCCAGCACCCACATGGCAGCTCACAATTGTCTGTAATGCCAATTCCAAGGGATCTGACACCTTTACAGTAGTGCACATAAAATTTAAAAAAAAATTTTAAAAATGTAGAACTCTCACTCTTTCAACATGGTGAAGATAATGAACTAATAAATGAACTAAACCTATGAAAATGTAGGCCAGCCCCAATTAAATGTGTGTGTATGTATGTGTGTGTGTGTTTAATAAGAGTCTCTTCACAACAATAGAAATCCTAAGACAGATGACCTCTGTGAAAGGGTTGCTAGATCGACAGGTTGAGAACTGTCCCTGTAAAACAAAGGGATTCTGCTAGGAAGTAGGAAGGGTAAGGTAACCTGTGGTCATGAAAGAAAATCTCACTCTACATTTAGCAAAACAGCAAACCCTCAAGCTGCAGGCGCACCCAACAAGGCCATTTCCACTCACCACACAGGCACTTTTATCAACCTCACTGGCACACAACACTTCTCACCACCCCAGCCTCTCTCCACTTTAAGCTTCTGAAAGCCTTTTAGTATCATTTGTTTAAGAGCCAAGCACACCCTTTAGGCCTCTGCTTACCATCTTTATTCCTCAGCTCCCAGGGACAAAGTCCTGTTTCCTTACTGTACCAGTACTTTTATATAAAGATGTTTCTTTTTTTTCTTGCCTTCTTTCTTTCTTTCTTTCTTTCTTTCTTTCTTTCTTTCTTTCTTTCTTTCTTTCTTTCTTTCTTCCTTCCTTCCCTCCCTCCCTCCCTCCCTTCCTCTCTCTCTCTCTCTCTCTCTCTTGTTTGTGTGTGTGTTTTTAAGACATGGTCTTTATTTGTAGCCCTGTAGCCCTGGCTCTCCTGGAATTTGCTATGTAGACCAAACTGGCCTTGAACTCGCAGATATCCACCCTGCTTCTCTTTCTCCAGTGCTGGGATTAAAGATGTGTTCATGATACCTGGTTCATAAAGATGTGTCACAAAAATTTACTTCTTTAGAAACCCTTACGTTGGGGCTGGAGAGATGACTCAGAGGTTAAGAGCGCTGGCTGCTCTTCCAGAGGACCTGGGATCAATTCCCACCACCCACAAAGCAGCTCGCAGCTGCCTGTAACTCCAGTTCTAGGGAGTCTCAGATGACACCTTCATACAGGCACACATGCAGGCAAAACACCAGTGCATTTGAAATAAAAATAAATTAATTAAAAAAAAGAGAAGCCCTTAGGTTACTCCTCTAAAAAGAAAAACAAAATAACAGCAAATCTAACAAGCTGGGGCTGCATAGGTGGCTCAATGGTTAGGAGCACTGGCTGCTCTTCCACAGAACCCGGGTTTGATTCCAAGCACCCACATGGTGGCTCACAACTGGAACTTCAGCTCTAGGGACTCTGATGACCTCTCCTGGCGAATGACGCAGGGACATACATTCAGGCCAAACACCCATGTATATATAAAATTTAAAAAAATTAAGCGCTGATTCAAACATCCTTATTCTTTTGCCCTCCCTTCCAAATTCACCTTGGGGACTAGTATTGTCCTGTTCTAAAGACAGTTCTTTGTGCCCTGGCCTTTTCTGGATGGCTTGTTGTCCATCATTTAATCTGGTTTATGTCTGTCTTCATGTAGCTTAGACGTCATGATGGATACACTGACCTAAGCCACAATGATTGTCATAAAAGGACAAGTATTTAAGCCACCCCCAGAAGCCATAGGCTAGTAAATGAACACCCTCTTGCCAGGGCGGGGCTGTCTTCCTATGTGTTGCTTGCCAGAGAGACCCATGAGGCTCCCCAAACAATACAGGTTATTGCTCTCATGCTGTTAATTGCCCACCAGAAGTAGATGGTAAGATCTTATTGGCAAAGCCTCCTGCTTTGTTTGCAGGACATAGAGAAATCGGACTGCAACTGAGTTGGAAGCTTCCTGCCTGCGGGGTAGCTTTCATCGTACTGGGAGATACCGCACAGGCTGCTGGGTAAGAACTATCACAGACATTCTTACCCAGCTTTAGATCCTGCATACAGCACTACTGACTTGCCAGGTAAGATGTTCCTGTGGGTACAACTGTGGCGTGACTGCTAGCAGGGTAGAAAAGCCAACCACTTTCTGCTTGGAGTTGAGGCCCAAACCACAAGAGGTGGGAATTCACGTCTCAGCCGTAAACCAAGGCAAAAGCCTGTGATCGGGGAGGCCATAGGTCCTAGTGGAGAAGGCACTACTGTTTTGCTAAATGGACATAATGTGCCTGTTGAACGGCTTCCAAATATTCGTTTGTATGCAATAGATTACAGTGCTGTTTCAGTGTGGTCAGAGAAGCTTCTATGCTGTGGCCAGCAGTCAGTCAGAACCAGCCTAAGAGCCGAGAATGAATGACTGCTGAGTGCTTAGCCATAAACAGGGCATCTAAATCATTCTCTCCAACATTCAGGAAACATAGAAGATGAGGGACAGAAGGAATTAAGAAGCAGAAGTGGAATGCTGTCTTCCTGGCGTGATGTGACTGCCTGCAAAAGACCTATACAAGATTGAGACCAGGCACACGTCTTTAATCCCAGTGCTTGAGAGTTTGAGGCCAGCCTGATCTACAGAGTGAGTCCCAGCACAGCCAGGAAAAACAAAAACAAACAAACAAACAAAAAACAAAAAAACAAAAACAAAAACAAAAAACCCAAGACCAAAAAACAACCATCAAACAAACAAAATTCTCAAATACAACAACAACAAAAAACAGAGTGGGAGAGGTTCTCAAGACCCCAGTCCTCCCTAGTTCTATAAAGTTATGATTACTGAGGAGGAAATATTTTTTCTTTCAGTTGTGTAGCTACAATAAAGTTGCCCATGCTCTTGTAAATAACACCTCATCTAGGCTCCTCTGAGTACCCATAATTGAACTCACTGGTTAAAAACTACAACCAAGGAAGTAGTGAAATATTGGCAATATAGTCCATACAAAAGGGCAGAGAAATGTCTCAAATCTCATGTTGGGAAAGAGCTCATCCACTGTAGGGTACCCATTAGAACCACTGTATAACTGTACAGTGTTGACTGAAAAAAAAAAAAAAAGAAAACAAGGGAGAATATAAATTTTATATCTATAGATCTATCTCTCATATGTATGGGTGTTTTGCATGTATGTATATATACCATGTGTGTGCCTGATGCCCTTGAAGGGCAAAAAAAAGGGTGTCATATCCCTTGGAATTGGGGTTACAAACAGATATGAGTCAACATGTGGGTCCTGGGAGTTGAACCCAGATTCTCTGGAAGAGCAGTGATCTCTACAGTCCCTAGCGCGCTCTCTCTCTCTTTCTGTATGTGTATTTATTTATTTATTTATTTATTTATTTATTTATTTATTTATTTATTT